ATGCCTATGTTTTAAATTTCAAAGCATTTCGTCTAAAAACAAAAAAGATATTGAGATTTTTGTTTCAGCCAATCAGAGCGAAGCGCACGTTCATGCACGTGCAAGCATGTTCATGATGACCATACCTTCTTCTAGGAGTCCATTATGTTTGTCTATGTTCTAAATCCCATGCTGTTTGGTTGAAAAACAAGGGAGTTATAGCCATTTAAATTTTAAGCCAATCAGATTGCAGCGCACGTGCATGCGCGTGATTTGATGAAAATTCTTATATACCATATTGTAGGATATTTTAAAGCATGCATAAATTTTAAATTTCAAAGCATTTCGTTAAAAAACAGAGAAGATATTGAGATTTTTGTTTCAGCCAATCAGAGCAAAGCGCACGTGCATGCGCGTGAGTTCGTGCTAATTTTACAGTGTCACCTTAATTATCAACACCATTAATATATCTTTATATAATGAGTTTCAAATCATTTCAGTAAAAAATGTAAAAGTTATAGCTATATTAAGTATATCAGTCATTTCACTCATATCACGCGCACGCACGTGCATGCGTATGCACGCAAAATGACCTTCGTTCCGCACACCTACACTACACACCTATTAACCCTAAAAAGGTTTTAGCTCAGTTGGGTGAACAGTTTCTGAGAACACTCGCGGACAAAAAAGTCCGGAGAAGAAATAAGAAGAAAAAAGAATAATAACTAGTGCTAATTGTAACGGGGACCGTTACAGATGTTCCCCAAACTCTCCCCATCTCCCTTTTGGTGCCATATTCCCTGTAAGCTTCATTGAATAAGACAAACTTTATGCATTTAAGACTTTAACGTTTACCCAGAAGGGTACCAAGTTCATTCATATTTTAGCATTGCACGCGTGCGCATGTGAATGCGTGTGCGTAATGACCATATCATCTTGTCTACACAATCTATATACTTTGATATACTAAATATTAAAATATTTAATCCAAAAGTATTAAAAAATACGCTCATTCAGGTGTATTTTTGATTTTACTCATTCCACGTGCACGCACGTGCATACATGAGCATGGTGACAAACCTACTTGTGGAAGTCCATTACATCTATCTATGTTCTAAATCCCACTCAGTTTGGTTGAAAACCAAGGGAGTTATAGCTGATTAAAGTTTCAGCCAATCAGATTGCAGTGTACGTTCACGCACGTGTATGGATGTGCATGGTGATCATACCTTCTTGTAGAAGTCCATTATATCTATCTATGTTCCAAATCTCATCCTGTTTGGTTGAAAACCAAGGGAGTTATAGCTATTTAAAGTTTCAGCCAATCAGATTGCAGCGCACGTACACGCACGCGTATGAATGTGCATGGTGACGATACCTTCTTGTAGAAGTCCATTATATCTATCTATGTTCCAAATCCCATTCTGTTTGGTTGAAAAACAAGGGAGTTATAGCCATTTAAAGTTTTAGCCAATCAGATTGCAGCGCACGTGCATGCGCGTGTTTACATGACAATTGTTATATGTCATATTGTAGTACATCCTGAAGTATGCATATGTTTTAAATTTCATAGCATTTTGTCAAAAAACAGAAAAGATATTGAGATTTTTGTTTCAGCCAATCAGAGTGAAGCGCACGTGCATGCGCGTGAGTTCATGCTAATTTCACAGTGTCACATTATCTACAGTATTAATATATCTTTATATAATGAGTTTCAAATCATTTCATCAAAAAATGTAAAAGTTATAGCTATATAAAGTATATAAGTCAATTCACTCATTTCACGCGCACGCACGTGCAGGCGTATGCGCGCAAAATGACCTTCGTTCCGCACACCTACACCACACACCTATTAACCCTAAAAAGGTTTTAGCTCAGTTGGGTGAACAGTTTCTGAGAACACTCGCGGACAAAAAAAGTACCGGAGAAGAAATAAGAAAAAAAATAATAATAATAATAAGAAACAGAGTAAAAACAATATGTTCCCAAACTCCGTTTGGGGAACATAATAAGAAACAGAGTAAAAACAATATGTTCCCCAACTTCGTTTGGGGAACATAATAATAAGAAACCGAGTAAAAACAATATGTTCCCAAACTCCGTTTGGGGAACATAATAATAAGAAACAGAGTAAAAACAATATGTTCCCCAACTTCGTTTGGGGAACATAATAAGAAACAGAGTAAAAACAATATGTTCCCCAACTTCGTTTGGGGAACATAATAAGCATAAACACAATTCAAAAAATAAAATAAAACACTCTTTGGTGCTGTGATCACTTAAGTGCAAAGTTAAAATGTTGAAAATATGATATCTAAACAAGAGCAGTCATCCAATGATAAGCATGGACATAGAAAGTCCTCTTAATTATTTCAGAATGTTCCAACGTTGTCCCAACGTAAAGCTCAGCAGCTAATTATAAAATTGACACCATCAATTAATTAGCAGTATAATAATTGGGCCTACGTTGGCCCTATATAAATATCCCATCTTTTAAACACCTGAACAAAATAACACTTGTGTGTATTACAAACATTGTGCCAATGTTGAGCCAACATACTACTACCAACTTGATAGGACACGTTCTTTAAGGGTGTATTAGAAACTATGGGCCAACTTTGGACCAACATAATACTATCAACTTGATTAGACATTTTCTTTAAGGGTGTATTAGAATTATCGGGCCAACGTTGAGCCAACATACTACTACCAACTTGATAGGGCACGTTCTTTAAGGGTGTATTACAAACAATGGGCCAACGTTGGGCCAACATAATACTACCAACTTGATAAGACATTTTCTTTAAGGGTGTATTACTAACAATTGGCCAACGTTGGGCCAACATACTACTACCAACTTGATAGGGCACGTTCTTGAAGGGTGTATTACAAACAATGGGCCAACGTTGGGCCAACATAATACTACCAACTTGATAAGACATTTTCTTTAAGGGTGTATTACTAACAATTGGCCAACGTTGGGCCAACATACTACTACCAACTTGATAAGACACATTCTCTAAGGGTGTATTACAAACATCGGGCCAACGTTGGGCCAACATACTACTACCAACTTGTAAATACACTTTTCTTTAAGGGTGTATTATAAACATTGGTCCAACGTTGGACCAACACCAGGATCCTTCCTTCCTTGGGAACTAAAGTGAATGGAAGTTGCTTACGTTGGACCAACGTTGGGCCAACATAGGAATTCTGTCATGGTCAAGAAGGTTGACTTGGTAACATTGGTCCAACGTTGGCCCAACGTGGTTCACCCAACGCCAACCATACAACCTTTTACAAATGTTGGCCCAACATAGTCATGCTATCTGGGATATTCTCTTTTATTGTCCCAAAGTAAACCCAATTTTGTCTCTTTTAGAAGAATGGATATTTGAAAAAACTGGAAAAATAATAAAATTTGATGTATGTACAGTTTTACTTGGTTCTTCAACAGGAGACACAGCTATCAATCTTATATTGCTACTTATTAAACAATACATATTTCAACAATCAAGAAAAAAACCCAGAATTTTAGTATAACTATCCAAAGTATCATTAAATACATATACTTACATGTGTATTATAAATTTGAAGAAAAACTATATAAGATTAAAAATGAACTTCATGTGTATAAAAGAAGTTGGAATGACTGGAACCACATATTTGAAAACATAAACATCTAGATATAATGTCATCTATTTTATCATATTTGTGTGATTTGTGTATTCATATTTTATGTTTATTCATGATACTCAAAAACTGTACATTTTTAACTCTCCCAGCCTTGGTGTGTATGTGTATGTATGTTTGTGTTTAAAGTCAATTTTTAAAAAAAAGGTCAAAAGGTCAAGGTTGTTGGTATCCAATGAAAGGTCTTGCCACAAAGAATATATATGTGAAGTATAAATGTCCTGGTATCTAATGTTGAAAAGTTATGGCCAAAGTATACAACTGAAATTTTTGTGTAAAAGTGGGTCAAACTCCAAGGTCAAGGCCAAAAGGTCAAATTTGGTGGTACCCAATGAAAGGTCTTGTCACAAGGAAATATATGAAAGTCATAGCTCCACTAAATCAAACGTTATGGACAAGGTTAAAGTTTTTGCGGACAAACAGACAAACAGAGAGACATACAGAAAGACAGACAGAGAGACAGACAGACGGACACGACAAAAACTATATACCCCCGAAACATCGTTTACGGGGGCATAAAAGTAAAATAAATGAATTTCAAAAACAAAAGCATGGTATTTCTTGTCTGAAAGTGTCAAAATCTTTTTTACTTTATAGACCTGATATTTTTAACTGAAATGGAATTGCTGCAGATATTCAAATTTTATCAAGTTTAACTTGAAATCTGCTTTATTTTCCTAAAAATTTACTATAAGAATAAATTAGGTCATTTAAACCAATCACCTCATTTAAAAATATCAGGTCATTGAAAAATACCAGGTCTTTAGTAGGAAATCATCAGGTCATTTCAAATCATCATGTCAAATTTTTCCTCAATTATGGCAAAAAGATTTGTCTCAACAACATCTAAAGTGTTTAATTTTTCTAAAAGAATTAAAAAAAATATCAGGTCATTCAAAAACTTCCATTGAAAGTCATTTATAAAAATATCAGGTCTTCACTAGAAATACCAGGGTATCAGGTCATTCAAAATATCAGGTCAACAAGTTTTTGTAAGAACACCTTGATACAAAGAAAAAATTCTCAGTGTTTTCTACTAAAAGTGTATTTTAGTATAGTATCATCATGATTTTCTCCCAAAAAATTAAAACAGAATGTTTAAATTGATAATTTAATGAGATATTTTTTTATCAGGTCAAAATATCAGGTCTTTAGTATATCAGGTCTTTAGCATGTTCCAAATCTTTTATTGAAACAGGTTGGAATAGATAAGATTAAACTTGCAAATGTCCAGATTAAACTTGGAAACTCCAGCTTCAAAAATAACTATTAAGTAGCACAAACATGCTTCCGTAATTTATGAATACGAACTCCACTCAGAGCTCCTCGGGTGGCTCGTACCTCAACCGAGGATTGCCGATTGGTTTAATCCGGTTCCGGTTTAAAAATGTCAGATTATGATGCAGTGCAGAAGGGCTCCCTGAAACTAAAGGGTGTTTCTAATCATGCAATTAAAAAGTAAGTATCAAAATTGTTATGAAGGGTATGACAACTTTTTTTATTTTTTAGAAATGCCATCAAAGAATCATAACAACCAAAATCGACAAAGCATAATGGTATTACACAGATTTGTTGGTAAACAAAAACATATCTATATCAGCATCTAAAGTGCGCGTAAACGTTCTGTTTTGATTGTTTTGTTGTTTCTTTATGAATAGCATGGATGAATTATTTTAATAATAGCAAGCGCGACGAGCGTCGCGAAGCGACGCTCATCAATTCGAGCTCTTAAAGCAACGCCTGTGAGGGGACCCTGTGCGAAGAGAAAATTCGGACTACTGCACATTCATTCGATAGAATTTTTTGACGCAGTAATTTGGACCCATAATGCATCACTTGTTAAAGCTACGTTCTCGCGAGAATAGCAGCAAAAGTTCAACTAAAAGTAAACATGCCCTGATTTATTAATGGATAAATATTGAAGATAAATAGTCAATGAAACGTTCTTCAATTACTTTCAGCACTGTTCAGGCTTCTTTTTGGAAATGTAACTTACATACGACATCATGTGACATCAGAGTCTAGACGCACCAAATGTCACGTGCAGTTTGACAATCCCGATCTAAATTGTAACAAAATGAATATCTACGCTCGCCATAACAGTCGCACCATCAACATATTAATGAATAATGATAATGATAATTAATAAAAATAGTTTTAACTGTTGAATCTTATTTTTTGTTGTTCAACTTTTTGTCAGTTTTAAAATGATAAGATATTTGATTTTACAGAAGGATCAGGTGACCAAACTATGTGGTCTGGGGCTCTTTTTCCTTGATGGATTATATGAAATCTACGATCTTTCTGTTTGTTTGTTTTTCAAACAAGTGTAAAGGAAAATGACACCTTCTGAATTAGTGTTGATACTTACGGTCGATAGTTTGCATTGTATGTAATTTGAAGTATACTGCATTATTCATGAATTTTTAGACATTATGATAGCAAAATTCAGCCTAGTTTATGACTATATGTTCTTTTTGAGTAAAGATGAATAGAATAAGTAGGTCTTTGTATTATAGAAGGATATGCATGTCCAAGGAATCTTCCTTTTATGGCTATTGTTATTATTTCACACACAGTTTTAGATGCTGCAGTTTCAGCTCAAAAAATACCAGGATAATGTTTTTGGAGATGGTTTAAGTTTCTTAAGGTCTCATTTTCAAGGAACTGTAAGCCCTATTTTTAACTAACTTGCATGAATGAGACATCCAAGGGTGCACATTACCAAGCTTAAATTGATTCAGAAGATGGATCTGACCTACATCATCCAGAAAAGTGACCAGGTTAAAGGTTTTAGAACTGTTCTAATCTTTATATAATTGTAAACTCTATATTGACCAAACTTCCATGGATCATGTTGATACATCTAAGGAAGCACATTACCAGACTTGCTTCTGATGCTGGATCTGACCTACATTATCCAGATGAGTGACCAGGTTTAACAGTATAAAGCCCTATTTACACGATCTGATTTGTAAGATGTGACTTGCCACATCTTACAAATCATATCGTGTAAATAGGAAAATCAGAAGACAGATATGAAGTCAGATGGAATAGAAACATGCTCTATTCTGTCTGGCAAGTCAGATGGTTTTTCACCAATTATTGACAAGGTCAGAGAGGTTGATCTATATAAAGAAGAACTAACATGTGAATTTTTCCCGCACTTCTTCTCCAAAGATAATTCAATATCAATTAATCTTATTTATTGTAATTAAAATGTGGGGGAAATCCTGAGAGGACATTTTCTATTGGCTGGACAGAAGAGAGAACTGTATTTAACTACAGAACAAACTGAAAGATTAGTAGAACTATATCAAGAAGAAGTAGATTTATTAAAACAAAATGGCTATTAAATTATCATCATCATCCATTCTGAAATGTAAACAAAAAAAATTTGGAGGGAAATATTAATGAACTTCATGTCTGACAAATCATACCGTGTAAATGAAACACTGGAGTCAGATGTGAAATCACATCTGAAATCACATCTTACAAGTCAGACCGTGTAAATAGGCCTTAAAGATTTTAGAGTGGCTCTCATTTCCTGGTACTGGGGATACATGTATTAATCGTGTTTATAAGACCTATATCAACCATTCCTGCATGGATGATATTCTAAGGATGCACATTACCAGGGTTGCTTCTGATGGTGGATCCGACCTACATTTTCTGGATGAGTGACCAGAATAAAGATTTTGGAGTAGCTCTCATTTCTTCATTTTTATAAGATCTATATTGACCAATCTTGCATGGATGATAATCTAAGGATGCTGGATCTGACTACATTTTTGGAGGAGCAACCAGGTTGCTGATGAATGACCAGATAAATTTTTAGACCAGGTCCATTCCCATTAACTTTAAGACCTACATGAATCAATAAACTTGCATGGATGATATATCTAGGAATGGACACTACTAGATTGTTATTTAGTGTGAGACTTACTTAATTATAATAAAGAAGACATATGTTTGGGGTGTGCGCTTTAATCTTTCATTACCTACATTTATGTTATTAAACTATCAAGGTTTGTTCTAATTTTCTGCATTGTGAAATATTGTGAGACCACTTTATTGAAACGTAGAGTAATAGTATCTGTAAAGTGATGTTGTTGAGAACTAAAACCATTTTGATATTGATAAGTTGTGAGTTGACATTGATTTTGTTTTTCCATTGAGATTTCTTGGGTGTTAAACTGTGGTGAAATTTTCACTCTTTATTTTGGCACCAGTTTTCCTGGCACATCAAATATCAAAATCATGTCAAATGGCAGAAAAATGTTAGATATGCTTATGCTAATGCTTAATATGTAGTTTCATATTAAAAGCATATTGTAATACATACATAATACACTGTATATACATTGTACATGTACATACTGTATATTTGATTTTGTTTGTATGATAAATTTCAAACTTAACACATTGAAAATGTAAATCTAGTAGATTGTCATTATTCTATTTTATCTGTTTCAACTTGATTTTCTATATCTTAACTGTTTCATTTTTCTTATTATTCAGAAAGAAAAAGAAAAAGAGCAAAGATAGAGATACAAAGAAAGTATTTGAGCAGATTTCTTCACATTCAAAGAATGCAGATGAAGACACACCACAGCATGAAGTGCGAGATATAAGAACCAAGGCTGAGATAGCCGCTGATAAAGCCCGAGAGAAGAGGGTAAGTCAAGGGTAAAATACAGGTCTAGAAAACAGGAGCGTATCATCTTAATCCTTACTTTATAACAGATAATCTGATACATAAAAGGGAGATTCATATTTCAACCAAATCTTGATCATCTACAAAGGGTAGAAATTATCAAAGATTTAAAATGAATTGGTTTCATTGAAAAATCTGGCACTGTCAAGTACTGTAAATCACATTTTATTCGCGAGAACTTAATTTTCGCGTAATTACGCGAGACAATGAGCTCGCGAAAATTTCACTCTCGCAATTAAAAGTATTCCTTGCGATTATATAGAGGAAAAACAACAGTTCATGAAAATTATATCTCGTTAATAAAGAGTTAATGGCTATCTCGCAAAAATAAGGTGTCGCGAAAATTTAGTGATCTACAGTAAGTCCATAAAAGAGAACGTAAAATCATTATTTTTATACACTGTATACTTCAGATATGGTTATTATGACTAGTGGAAAATTTGACAACTTAAATTGATAGAAATATGATGAATGTTATTTTGACAAAGTTTCCATTTTGAGAAGAGTTATCTTTTATAGATTATACACAAATCTTAAAGGGGCATAGACACAGTTTCAGCTAAAAAAAATTTCAGTCTTTTAATGTTTACAAATACTCAACTCAGGTATTTCTAATAAACGTCAAAAATTTAATTTTCAGTTTTCGAGATGCAAGACAGATTGAGAGCTCCAAACCATTGTTATGTAAACAAAGTCTGTGCCATGTTTTTTTTTTTACATAGCTCAAATTTACTAATATATGCCTGTTCAAAGCAATTTTTTTCAACAAAGAACTATAAATACGATAAGACAGTTTTTAGTGATTTGCTGAAATTCGTTTTGTTGCAAATATGATATTTTATATATGTAAACAAAAACAAGGCATGAGCCTTGTTTACATTATGAAGGATTTTAAGTTCTGTATCTCCTTCGTAAATCAACAAATGATGTTCATATTTTTGCAGATCATTAGAATTACCTTAGGAAGGGATTGCAAACATTAAAATTGGTTTTAAAATTTTTTAGTTGAAACTGTGTCCATGCCCCTTTAATCTTCATATACGATACAGAGTTTTCATTTTTTTCATGTCATGTGAACAAACATTCAACAAACCATTTACCCTTCATCGGATACCAATCTTGATTTTTATATGCCCGTCTTAAGACGGGACGTATTATGTTATAGGCTTCGTGTCCGTCCGTCTGTCTGTTAGCTTTTTCGTTTCCGGCTCATAACTTTAATACTATTAGGCCTAGGGTTATCAAACTTTGTCATCTGATGCATCTTGGGTGGAAGTTGTGTCGCGCACAAAAAATAGATCGTTTTGACCTTTTATTAAAAAGTTATAGCCAAATATGGAAAAATCCTTTCCGGCCCATAACTAGAAAACTATAAGACTTACAATCATCAAACCTGGCCAGTTTATGCATCTTAGGTAGAAGGTGTGTCGCGACCTATTTCAAGGTCACTGTGACCTTTAATTTAAGTGAAATTTTAAAAAAAATGTTTCTTTTTACTATTCATTTAAGCATCCCAAATAATGTAAGAGTATTGCACTGTCCTTATTAAAAAGGTGTTAAATCAAGAAAATACTTAATTTTTAAGCATATACTTGACAGCAATCTATAACAAATATAATGTATGTTAGAGAAATCCTACCTCTCCCTTGAGTGTAATTATCAAGCACTGGCCAAGAAGAATTTTGATAACAGAAATTTGCATGTCAAATTAGAGAGAAATTAATGAGTTTTGAGTGTGAGGATTTCATTAACTGATAGAGCATCGTGTTATCTATATCCCTTGGGTATTGGGCAGATGGGTAAGCCTGTTGGATTAAAAATAGCTCTTGTTGGCTAGCCTAAGTTTAAAATGAATTTGATGAAAAGTAATTAAAACTAATTTGATATTGCATAATAGACTAATCTGATATTATATAATATTATTAATTTAAAAACTAATTTTTAAATATAGGGTGGGGTGGAATCAGCATGTCCATATGAATTAAATATTAAAACCTGTCGGACATTAAATCTCAACCAAAAAATATCTTTGAATATTTTATGTGTTTTAAAAAAAATTTATGGTAGATTGTGCAGACCCATTCATCTCTTGGTAGTAATGAGTAGACAAGCATCCAGTTAAAGATTAATTAATGAGTTCAATGTAGGAAGGCTATCTGATGAAGTAGTCTTATCTGTATCCTTTGGGGATTAGACAGAAGAAGTGCTGGTCAGTTTATAGCATATGTCATTTGATGGCCAGCCTTTTCTTTTCAAAATTAATTTGGTATAGATTAAGGTGTTAAGACTAATTATACCCCCCCCCCACCCGCAAACGAAGTTTAGGGGGGGTATATTGGAATCACCATGTCCGTCTGTCTGTCTGTCTGTAGACGAGATTTTGTCCGGACCATTACTCAGAAACTATTGGAAGGATTTGTCTGAAAATTTATACAAATATTATTCACCGTATGAAGTTGTGCACCTGATATTTTCATCCTGATACCATTATTATTTTGAATTTTACAGGTGTTTTTTCATTTTTATTTTGTGGTTTTGTCCGGACCGTTTCTCAGAAACTATTGCAAGGATTAATCTGAAAATTTGTACACTTATCGATCACCGTATGAAGGTGTGCAATTGGAATTTTCAACTCTTTCTGTTCATTTTTTTGCAATTTACAATTTTTATTTTTTATTTAATTGACTTGTTCATTTTGGGCTCATGTATAAGGTTTGAGACATAGAATCTAGAATATCTGTACAAAAATACTACAGCTTAAAACTACTCATATAAACTTAAAAAAAAGAAACATCATCAAGTGTTAAAAACAGTTTTTACATTGCACAGAAGATAATGTAATTTTATTTATCTCTTGGGAATAATGACTGGACATGCATCCAGTTAAAGATAAATTAATGAGTTTGGTGTGGGAAGTTGAACATTAAGGCATCTCATTATCAACCATGTGTGATCTCCTGGGAATCAGGCACAAGAATTAAAGATCTCTCTTCTCTTATTCTCTTAATTGTAATTTATTGTCTGTCAAAGCACTTCATTACTGGATGACCAGCTCTTTATTTTCAAATGAATTTGATATAAAGTTATCAAGATTAATTTGATTTTGTATATGATTTTTTTTCAACAATCAGTTTGCAGAGTGACATAACACATATTTGCAATGTATTTTTTTAATGCAGAAATAAAAAAATTAAATAAAAAAAATAAAAAAAAATAATGTTACAATGGAATTACAATGTATTAATATTGATTTTTCATTTGGTTGCACCTTTGTTTCATTCATTAAGAAACATGATGAGCAATTATATTTCACTGCAAATTTTTGGAAGTAAATTGTGAACACCTCTAGATCCATAAAGTATTTTTGAACTGGCACCTTCTCTGAAAAACCCAGCGGGGGGTATTTGTCCCTATTGGACAGTTCTAGTTTGATATTGTTAAATATGATGGGCATTTGACAAGGTCTAACACAACCAGCATAGAATGATGTAATATTTATTTTAATTAATGCCTACATCACAGGGAATGGATAAATATTTGAAGGAATGGAAAAATCATGGAAATCTTAGAATCAAGGTTGACATGATTTTCTTGCATGCTAAACTGTTCAAGAAAATTGTATTTTTTTGACGGGCGTATCATGCTGTGGTGCGGCACTTTATTACTTATCACCTGTGGGCAAACTTCTGACTTATAGTCATATAATTAACATGATTAATATACATGGGTCATTTGATTGGCTGCTGCGCCACAGAATTGTGAAGGCATATCAATAGCAAACTTATAAATGAAGACTTCAAACTTTCTGATTGGTTGTCTATAAATTTTCTGCATAATAAATGACAACTTTTCAGAGAGTTTAACTACTCTTCCTAGAGATTTTGTCTGATTTCAGTATAATGTGGACAACTAGCAGACAACTCTAAAATACATAATTCCTTTATTTCTTCTTTTCATTTCAATGAATGGTGTTGCCATGGTTACTAAATAGAAATTTTCTGTGAACTACTTTTCAAACACTACTCTTCCTACAACATGGTCTGATTTTGATATACATGTATGCTGCATGCAAGAAGTCTACACTGAGATATATAATGTCATTCTCATTTTTTTTTTATTTTGATGATTGATGTTGCCATGTTTACCGGTACTAAAATCAAACTTTCTGACAAATTCTTTTAAAAATTCTCCTCCTCTTAAATTTTTTTTTTATTTAAAATAAATCTTGCCACAAGAAGAGATTAACCAAGGATCATTATTCCGATTATTGCTGTTGTAAAGTTTCAAGTCCAAGTGCAACTTTTCTCCTCCTTTATCATACGTTCAAACCAAGAGAGCAGTCTCGTCAGGACTTCTGGTTACTAATAAATACTGCCTCTTATTGTATTTGTTTCTTTACTATGTTGTAGAAAGCAGCAGAGATTATTGAAAAGGCCAGCAAGACTCACAAGGAAAGAATAATGGTAACATATTATCTTCATTAACATTAAATTTCTAAACGGAGCTACTTATCACGTTCAGATAAATGTCAATTTATAGGGTCTGCCATTAAAATGCAGGTGCTCTGAGTAATTACAATATAAGTCTGTTCATCCATTTATTAATTAATAACTCTTTGTCTCAGCTTAGTTTTTCATGATATTTAGGTGCATTAATACATTTTTTTAGCAATCCTGGCATGATAAGCAATCTAGGTCGTGACAGACCTGAAAATAACTTTTTGTTCATTATGTTGTTGTATTAATTATTATTTTGCAGATTTTATCAGTAGTTTTGAAATATGTCTTCATACTAGAGTTTTTAATATTTATAAAGGAAACTTCCGCCATCAGTAAGGATTTTTATTGATCAATATCAAATCCTCTCTGTTGTAGGAATTTAATGGACAACTGGACAACCTAACGGAACATTTTGACATTCCCAAAGTCAGCTGGACAAAATAAAGACCTCCCAATTTCTGCCATGTCATAGTACAATGTGAAGTTACAACAAAACTTCTTCTGTTTTGGATTCTTTGAAAGACATACAATTTTGTTTATGAACACATTAGCAATGCTGAAACTGGAAGTGACCATTTGAATTTTGTCTCTATAGGTGTTATTTATGTTTACTTAGGTGTCCTAGGTGAGTTACAACATTTCACAAAAAAATTGCTACAGTTTGAGCTTTGAGGCAATTGTGAGCATTTCTGTGTTTAAATAGTGATTCCTGGAGGATATGCATATATGGAAATTCAATTCTACATGTGCTTTGACTAGTTGTATCTCCCCGGTACATCGATCTGAATGATCCATTTATATGTGCTGTGTCGATTTACTGGACTTTTTTTCTTTTTAAAGTGTATTTTTTATTCAGTCAAATAAAGAGAAAAAAAGTATGCTGTTTATGTTATTACACATATATATACACAGTTTCATTCTGATGAGGGTACCTAGTGTACCGGATGTATTTGAAAGGGCAAATTTCATATGTTACAATATAATTATGTTACATTGTATTGTGAATCATCTTTTTTAAATGAATTTGTAGTGTAACAAACTGCCCTTTTTCAGCAAAGATTTGACACATTTTATTTCCCTATTCCAGTCTAATTTCACCTTTATTATCATGCTGGTTTTATGGTAAAAGAATGATCGATACTCATTAATCTTTAAATTAATTAGTGTTTTTTGGTACAGCCTTTTTGATGTAAAAATATTTTATCATTCATTCGTGGGTTACAAAGTAGAAACATCTAGTAATCAAATTTTATTTGGAATCACTTCTGTCTATATTCACATTTTTGTGGTGTTTAAAAAGATAGCTGGGCAGCCATTGGGACTCCCACATGCAGTCTTTCCTTTCCACGGCTGGAATTTGGCCGAAATACTGTCAAACTGGTTTAACCCCTTGTGATAAATATGTGTATGAGTATGGAATATTCACACCATATATGATGAGTGATTATCCATGTTCGCTATTAAAATGTTGGCTTTGACGTATGATGATGGATAGTCAGAGGGCAGACCTATTGCAATGTATGTGGTATATGTACACAGTCCTGCGACATGTCTGTAAAAAAACTTTATCAATGGTATTTCTCTACATTTGAGGAAGTAAAAAATAAAAACTTACTTAGCAATATTATGATAAGATTTCCCAGTATGAGTTTAACAGCTAACACACAGTGAGTTTGATTTTTCATGCAGGTAAAAAGAATTTTGCCAAATGTATAATGGTATATGTAGAAAAAATTATTTCATTTCTTTTTTTAACAGATACATGTAATTTTAAAATCCTGGTTACAGGTAACAATTAAGATACTATTTTTTTTTTTTAGTTCTTATTTTATTATGAAAATTATTATATATTTTTACAGAGGATGTTGTTCTCTGACCAAGAATGTAAGAAGGAAGGTTTACAGATTTACAGAACGTAAAAGGTACTGATAATCAAATAAGTCAATATAATTTAATTTTTCTTAAAAGCTGCAAAATAATTAAGATATTTTTTTACTTGCAAATTAGAACATAGCACATATAAATTAATTAACCACAAATTAACTTTTAAGCATCATGAATACATAAAAGATGAAATATTTCCGGTTTTGATTATTGGTTTACACTAATTACTAGACTTAAGTACTTATTCAAACTTGATGGAATATCTTAAGTTTGTATATTGGTAGGTTTTTCACCTTTCCTCTCCACTGGAGTTGATTTGAAAAAAGTTATTTTGTATAGAGATATAGTCACTGCTAAATAAACATTAGCATGCCGACTTTTGCATACCATTATCAAACAAACCAAATGACCTCAGGGTGCTAATAAGCGTCATGGATGGTAAAACACATTGCATACATTATTACAAGTTAATATTCATTGCTAATTAGCATATACTAGGACAAGCCCTTTATAGAGTCAGGAAGTTTTTATGCCATGGAGTGTTTGTATTTTGGTCCATGACAATTGTATGACAAGCTGTCGGTATTATAAGACTGCTCCTATATTTTCGAGTTGTACGTACTGTTATGTCACGGGATAAAACTTCTCTTACTGCAGATTTATATAAACAGAAGGACCTTGTACGGAATGAATATTAAGCAGTCTTTTAAGATTAATGACTGTATAATTTATTTCCTTCTGATACTTTGAGAGCAGAATGTGATAAATAACGCTAAAGAAATTGAATGTGAAGTAGTGGTTTGTGAGATGATTTTCTTCTGTGATTTTTGTTCAAAGTTAAGATGTCTGGAAAATAAATATAATCAGGATCAAATACACATCAAATGTAAGTTTATATTAATGATTTTTTTTCTTATTTTTTTATTTAACACAAGAGAAAAGGGTTATTTACATATATTATTGATGTTGGTATTATATTGATATACCAGGTATACCGGTACAGTGTATATGGCAAACTATCAGTGTTTATAAATAGCTTTTATATGCACATAATTTATAATGCTAGTGTATTTATTCATGTTATGAATAATTATTTCAATGTTTTTATTTAAAATTTTTCTTTTTTATTTTTTATTTTTGTTCATGGAAAAGGATTCAGAAAAAATGCTTTAAATGTTCATAGCCATTTTACACTATTACAGTGAAATTTAATTATTCTGGGTGTTGTGTCATCAAAAATCTTATTTAATATGATTTAAATATGTATCTTGGATGAAAATCAACTTTATTAACTGTTGTGTAATCCAGAATATTGTACAAATCGACCAGTTTTCTTGGAGCCATGCAGTGTTGTCCATACTAGACAGGTTTTACTGGTGGCCCTGCTGTTTTCCATCTGATTTTTAAAATATTTTTGTTTCTCTCCCTTTGCATGAAAAGGGAAAGGGGAATGATTTAAGCTTCACAATCATAAATTTTGTCTGCTTTAGCCAATTGGTAAGAAGATTTTAAAAATCATTTATAATACCTTATCTTTATTTTTCACTATTTCTTATTTTTGTTTTGTGTAAAGCTTTCCATTTCCATAAATTTGAAAATCCCCTTCACTGTAGAAAGCTTTGTAACAATTAAGACCAACTTGTTCAGGAATAAAGAGTTAATTAATGTGAAATACACAAGACAGACAGACGCTGGACAAATATTGATCAGTAAGGCTTACTTAAGTCTGTGTTACAGGTTAGACAGACAAAATGCAGAAAGCTTTGGTAAATTGCTTAATTAATATCTTTTTCATAATGAAAAAAAAGACTTTCTCTGTCTATATGAGACACAGATATTATTAGATATATTTTAAGTTATGGTAATAGTGTTTGTCGTGTTATCTTCTGGTAAAAAAATGTATTTATTACATATCCCTTAAAAGCTTATTCTGCTTGTAAGCTATTTAGTAATTAATGACATCAATCTATATATTAATTGTTATTTTTTATTTCCCTTTTTTTCACCACTAAGAGCCTTTATCCAATTAACAAATAATACTGTAGGTGTAATTATTGAAAATGAATTAACCACAGTGATTCATTTGGGATAGGTAAATATACATCCTTTTCATGCACTGGTTTCAAAATTTGAAAGAGTGAGTAATAATTATTCAGAAATGGAGACAAAAAGTATTAGACAGTACGAGCCATGTTTTTTTTTTTTTTTTTAAGTTTTTTTTCAGCCATTTATTACTCACACTAGTTGATTATCAGGAGATTCATTTTTAATTAGGCATATGGCAAGATTTGTCTTTGTGCGTTAAGTAGGCTATATTTAGATAAAGCTTTCAAACCTTGAATTAATTAATATCCATGAAATCTGGAGGTAAAAGAAAACACAACAAATTGCATTTTTATATTTTTGCTTGTAGTCAGGAAATGTTTGAAGTGTGGGGATTACAACTTTTTAGGTCACTAAATAAAAGAGATCATTTTCTTTTTTATTTGTAATAAATGAAATTTTTATTTATGTAATTATTCAAGAATGGTTACAAACTCTGTGCTGAAAACAGATCTTATTATCAGTGATAATTAAAGTGAAAAGATGTCCATGTCCAACATTTAGGAGTAGATTTATGGATTAAATTCCTCTTATCTATACATGTTATCTCTGTAAGTTTGTGATAGTACCCTGTGGCTCCATGTGAAATAGATTGATCTTTGTGAATAGGAGGTAGCATTTAAAACAGCGAACTCCTTTGAGGTTTTTTTTTTGTAATAATTTACAAGCATAATGTACACGTCTGGATGAATTTTTGTACCTATGTTTAAGCTTATTGTTACTAACATTTTAAGGAAAACTTTTTACAGGAAGTATATATTTAGACTTGGTGGTTATGTCAAATTATATACTTAATACTGGAAGGAAAAACTCATATGAGCTATTTCCCTAACAAGCATCCTGAACTGAATGAGAATGCAAAAGTGTATGTACTGTCATAGAAGTATGATGCATCATGATGATACGTACATTAATCTAAGTGTTTTAGTGATATTAAGACATATCAGTCATATTTTAGAATGGTAGGCATTGCTTGTAATCTGGCTATATTCTGGATTGTAACTTTTGATGTTTATTATTTGAAGCTTGACACTGTTTGTTGTAGACCAGATTTAGGATGGACCTGGTGATTGGCATTAACTTGGTCACTCTTCTGATGATCTCTCTGACGAGGCTGGTGGAGGGACACGGCCGACTGATAGACCCCCCCAGCAGGTCCAGTATGTGGCGTTATGGATACAGAAATCCCCCCAACTACAACGATAACCAGCTCTACTGTGGAGGGGTACAGGTAGGGAATATCAATAATATGCAACCAGTACTTTCATGGGTTTATATTCTCTTAATGTCTGCTCATTTTTCTAAAAGGAGATTACAATATTAAATATATTACACTATGACAGATGTCACTCACCAAGTCACATGTCATACTGCAATGAACCACTGAAATGCTGTCTTAGCAGAACAGACATGGAAACTCTTAAATGCCTCACAATTCAATCATATAATGACCTGCTCTGACAAAGCACTATTATTCAAACAATGGAAGTGTCTATCCTGCATTCTTCATATAAAAAATAATCCTACCTGGGATTTGTACAGAATTGTGCAAAACTGCCTGTCAGTTACCAACTTGACTGCTTTTGAAATGCTTGAGATTGATTGGGTAGAAAGTAATCATATATGGTCTGTCCAAATGAATGACTTATTTTCCTACATTGGCTAATTTTTTCAGTGCAGTTTTCAGCAAAAAAAGTTATTGCATAATACATGTATAATTCCTTTGGGAATTGTAGTAAAATGAAACGTATTTACTGTTCGTTATTGTTTGACATTTTGAAATGCTCCCTCTGAAAACAAGACTGATAATCATAAATTATGTTTCTTACATATAATGTACAATATAGTATTACTCATATGTTATAATTTGAGCAAAAAAGTCTATCGTATTATTCATATAAAAATTAAAATGTGTGAAAATCAGCACTTTCCTATATAATCCTATAGTAAATGTACCTGTATTTTGAGATGGTCCCTTAAAAAAAACCTGGATAGTAGATTTTCCTTAAACTTAGCATGCACACTGAAGTGATTGTTAGTTACATATATATGTTATAAAATTATAGTTTCTCTTTTGCAGTTTCACACATCAAAACCCCAGTTGGCTACCTTAAATCAGATTGAGGCTAATTAAAGTGAAAATCATTAAATTTACTGAAAACTGTATGTGTAAAAAAAAAAAAAAAGAAAAAAAAAATATATATATATATATATACCCTAATAGAAATTGACAAGGGAAAATGTATGAAAGTTTGATGGAGGAAAAGTTTAATTTAGATTGACAATTGACCAACTCATTAGACAGAGTAAGATTTTACATTGAAGGAATTAAGGTGCAATAAAACATTTACAGTACTCAAAAGTGAGTTCATTATTTTCCACTCATTCAAGAAATAAATTATAGATGGGCACTGATATACTTTAACAGTACTGTAGTAATTTTAAACACTTCCCAATCTTACTATCAACAATTACCAAAATAGTATCAACCAGACCAAAAGACCATAAACTGAGCATAGACTTAAGTCAAAATTTTTATTTCTTATTACTTGAGTTTTATTGAATGATTTTGCTTAAAACTTTGCAGTTTTGAATAAAATTTTAATTCAAACATATGATGAAAATTTTGTTTCATTATCAAAATTATTTCAAAAGTTATGTTAATTTGAAATTTTGACTTAAGTCTGTTCTCAGTTTATAGTCTTGGGGCCAGGAGAACCTTAATTTACTATTTCAAAACCTTATCTTTTCAAGAACCATAGTTTGTTTTTTTTCTGCATTTCAAAGAGATTTTGATTTTGAAATTTTTTATAAAATTTCATTCAAATACAGTTAATTCTCGATAAACCGCCACCTTATGTAATTTAGAAATCATGGCGGTATAACGAATTTGGCGATGAATTGAATTTTCCATCTTTTAGGAAATAAGACGTAGAGTTATCGTTCTTAGAAATACCATTTAGTGTTTCTATTCTTATTATCACATGTACATGTATATATAAACATATTTCTAAAATTGAAAATACTTCAAGTAATTTTTTTATTGTACAATTTCGCTAAAACAAAATATTCAGTTATGAAATTAAGACAAGTACATGTGTATGCATGTAAATCTGCACGTCTGATATTGAAAAAAAAAATGCTGGGTCGATCGTCGTGATATATTGCCTATAGTACATAAAATAAGTTCTTGAATAAATTCATTGTTTATGAAATCATTGTTAATGAAACGTTCACAATTTCTGACTTATATTTTTTTTTAAGCAAAACTTTGCATTGTTTTTAAAACAGAGATCATCAAATAAAAATAATATCGTTATCGGCGTGCTTTACAACGACCGCTTTCATGGCGAAGCGTTGACTAAATGATTTCGTTAAACAGAGAACAAAATTATTCTAACAGTTCATTTTCAAATTATTGTTTACTTAATTGCATGTACCTTGACTGGCTTTGCATGCTTTACAACAGGGATAGCGTCAACCAATTAGCCGCGCTTCACTGACCACATGCACCTGTGTATTATCGAGATAATTGACACTTAAAAATGGACGTTTGTTGTGAAAACAGGGTGGCGGATGGCGGTATGCGAATTTGGCGTTATAAAGAGAATTTTATATAGCAGGAAAAACGTTCTTGAAATCATGGCATTGCGAATATGGCGATGAATCGAATTGACACTTAAAAATGGACAGATTTGTTTGTTGTTGAAAACAGGGTGCATTATTAAATAAAATTACTAAAAATTAACGTTTATTTGCAATAGCATGCCTTTTGAAATCACTTTCTGTTACCAATTTTTAAGATCAAATCCTAAAGATAAAATTTCCACTTATATGAGATGAATAATGTTCCTTTCTGTTACAGATCCAGTATGAGATGAATAATGGAAGATGTGGGGTGTGTGGCGACCCATTTCAAGGGCCTCATGACAATGAACCAGGGGGAAAATATGCTAATGGAATCATTGTTCATTCAACAAGTATTGGTGCCATCATGCCAGTTACAGTAGAAATAACAGCTCCTCACAAAGGCTATATGGAATTCAAACTCTGTCCAAATGATGATCCAAAAAAAATGATCACTCAAGAGTGTCTGGATGACTTTTTATTAACCATCATTGAGTCCAAAAGTACCAGATACCCTGTTACAAGTGCTGGGAAGTACAAATTAAAACTACAACTTCCAGAGAGTGTCAAGTGCCGTGCTTGTGTTTTACAGTGGAAATATAACACAGGGAACAGTTGGGGAGTGGATCCAAAAACAAATAGAGGATGTATAGGCTGTGGTAATCAGGAACAGTTTTATGGCTGTGCTGATATTGCCATAGGACACCCAAACATAGAACCAGGGTTTTCTTTAATAACTAATCAAATGAGCAAAGGAGGGCCCATTTTAAAGCCTGGTGTGCCTACCCCACCTCTGGTTCCCACTGAACTGGAAACATGGGGACCCCTTTCCCCAGACAGCGGAGAGGTGGATCCGGTCGTTGTTCCTGGCCCCAGTGGATCTAAGTCAGACACAGCCTACAAAGTGTACAAGAGTTTCTTGGACTTCCAAAGTCAATTTCCAAACAAATATGCCAGACCCTGTGTTTGTCATTCCTGTGTAGGCAAGACTTGTGTATGTGAATGTTTTGAAAGTGATATTTCTGCCTCATCTACAAACCATCTCCAAAGTTATCTTAATATGTTGACTATTTTTGTTGTGTCACTCATTTTACAAGGAGTTCCATTTTACCTTTAGGCATAATTACTAGCACTTATGAGACATAAATAACGGGGCTGAATTTCAGATTGTAGTGACTATGTAGATATCTACCATATAGCTGCTAGGTTAGCTGTTAGGATCTAAAACTTAAGCCAGCTGTATTGCCAATTGTTTTCATTTATATATTTATACAACCATCTTAAGACAAACATTACGTATATCACTGTATGTCTAGCTGTTTATTTGTCCATATTTGGACATTTCAACTTTAGGCTCACCTGGATCCTAAAGGTTCAAATGAGCTTTTGTTATCACCTGTCATTTAATGTCAGTAGAGTTATGACCTTTACTCATCAATGCTGTTTAGGAAACCTTTGCAAACAGAATTTTCATACACCTGTATATTATGCTATCCAAATAGTGCTTTCCTTCTTCTGTTAAGTGTCTGTCCATATGTCCATCAGTCTGGCTGTACACCTGTTAGGCAGCAGACAATTTTCATTAATTTTTTGTTACATCTTTTATAAGTTTCTTCTCAAAATGACTCATTTTTGGAAGTATTTTCCTTCAGAAAACTTCAAATTTATTAAGCTAAAAGTTAATGAAAAAACATTTCCTAGAATCTCGTAGGACAATGAAAAAATTCTTAGAATCTTCTCAGACAACACTTGTGGTCAATGTTGTCTGAAGACAATTCTACAATACACCTGTGTCTGGGCGAATTTGAAAGTGAACATTTTATTAAAAGTGATAAAAAATGAGATGAAAATAGCCCAGTTTATAGAATTATATTATTCGATGCAATAAGACATTTATTGAAAATGAAAATAATTTGTCAAGTAGCAACTATAATTAGGTGCTTATTGAGCATGTGATATGATTTGACTATATGAGTTTTCAGCAACTTTTTCTTCATTGTGTTTATTTTTGTTTAATAAATAAAAAAAGCAAATTCAAAGAATTGTGGTCCCCCTTTTCGGTGTCTTTGTTGGTGAGATGTCATTTTTGTAGCATATTGTGTCAAATATGAACAACCTTTCATTTGTCATTCAGAAGTTATAATGGAATTTGATTTTTTTGAAAATAAGGTGAATTGTGAAGGTCAAGACATGGGTCAGAAATCATAGCATGCTTGGAAATATCTTGTCACAGGAAATGCCCATGTCAAATTTGAAAGCCTTTTCTCTTCTCAATCAAATGCCATAAGGAAAAATTAACATCCTTGAAAATAATGTCAAACTTCAAGGACAAGGTCACAAGGTCAAAAATCATAGTGTACTGTAGATCACTTAATTTTCGCGACACCTTATTTTCGCGAAATAGTCATTGACTCTTTATTAGCGAGACATAATTTTCACGAATTGTTGTTTTTCCTCTATATAATCATAAGGAATACTATTAAACGCGAGAATGATATTTTCGCGACCTCATTGTCTCGCGTATTTACGCGAAAATAAAGTTCTCGCGAATAAAACGTGATTTACAGTATTTAGAAAGGTCCTATCACAAGCAATACACAGATTTCATATGAAAGCTCTATGTCTTCTTGTTCAAAAGTCATGAGCAAGGTTAAAACCTTAATATTGAAACATAGGTCAAATGTCAAGGTCACCAGGTCAAAAATTATGTATTTAGAGAAGTCTTGTCCCAGATAATACACACATTTCATTTGAAAGCCCTATCTCTTCTCATTCAAAAGATATGGCCAATTTGAAGTCTTTAATTTCTAAAAAGTAGATCAAACTGAAAGGTCATGAGGTCAAAAGTCATAGTGTATTTAGAAAGGTCTTGCATTACACAGGTCTGATATGACATCCTTACCTCTCATCATTCAAATGTCATGACCAAGGTTAAAGTTTATGAAAAGTTAGGTCTAACTTCAAGGTCATCTTCACAAAGTCCAAAATCATAGTGTACTTAAAAAGGTCTAGTTACAGGTAATACACATCTATGAAAGCCCTATGTTGCAACCACTATTGAAATAAAGAACGCGACCATTGAAATAACGAACGCGACCACTATTGAGCTAATTATTTCAATAGTGGTTGAGAGTACATTTTAATAACAAACACAGGTTGCAACCACTATTGAAATACGACCACTATTGAAACTAGAGTTACTGTGAGCAATGAGCTCACTAAATGATAGCCCCTGCCTCCCATATGAATATAATGGCAGTGTCCATGTTTTGTCATGGTGAACCCAAAATATGTGTTGGATCAAAAAGTAAAATAAGAGTTGCACAATGGCAATATATAATAAAGATTCTCTGAAAGTTTCATCAAATTTCATTCAGTTGTATAAGAGGAGTTGCGGATAAAAGATGGGTACCCCGAAGTGTAACAGACAGACAGACATATAGACAGCTAGACATACAGATGGATGGATGGACATACCAATTACTATATATCCTCCCTCTTTTCAAGCAGGGGGTATAATAATAAGTATTTCAATAGTGGTTGAGAGCATTTCAATACCAAATATAGGTTGCAACCACTATTGAAATAATGTTCACTTTTGAAATAAAAATTAAAACAGTGATTAAAATATAGATTTCAAAAGTGATTGATGTATTGATTTCAATAGTGCTTTAAACAATGTTTCCAAAAGATATCAAAATGATTATTTTTATAGTTGATGGCAATGACTTCAATACCAAAACCACATTGCAGGCTTTATAGAAGTATCCCGACTGTTGAAACAAATATACATGATGTAAGGATGAATTATGCATTCTGTTTTCTAACACATTAAACTAATTAATTGAGTTTAAAATATGATAACAAAAGTTATGTTTTCTTTTTTGTAGAAATTTCAGTACACAGACAGTTTTAATTAAACTGCCTTGCCTATAATTCCAATATGTATGCAAATGTTATAACCAAGTTCCTGATGAATTTGGCCGAATTGACGAAAAACAACAGAAAATCAATTAATAATATGCAATTTTGAAATACTTTTATTATATAAAGTTCATTTCTGTCATTGATTTTGAAAAGAAAGGATCACACATGTAAATACATCTAGATGTAGAAATTAGAGTAACTAGACTGCATTGAAAAGGAGAAAGACTGATAATTTTGCTTACAGTCTTTCTGATGAAAATATGGTTATTTTTAACAAAAAGTGTACATACTCATATGTATATATTCATGGGATTACCTACACTACAAATATGGATAGTAAAGCCAATGTCTACTCATCAAACATTAAAAGCTAAATTTCTAGGAAAATTATGTAAATTACAATGGGACAAGCTATTTCAATTGTGATTAAAATGTGGTGGTGTTTTGAAATGTATTTTCAACTTCTTTTTGAAAAATCATTCACAAATAGTCGTGATTTTTATAGTAAACTCAATAAATGAATTAATCCTTTTATTTTTTGACAGTTAAGTTATTATTAATTTCAATAAGTCTTGCAATGTGGTTTAAGTATTGGGTTAATTATCAGCAACTATCAAAATAATTACTGTATACAGGGGAATTTTCGCCCTCGTTTTATTTTCGCCCCTTTCGCCCTACCCTCATTTGGGCGAATGTAAAACAGGGCGAATTCAAAGAATACAGTATAATTTCTTAAACAAAACTATGACTGGGCGAATTTAAAACGGTGCAAAATTGTTTGCAAGAGTGAAAGGGCGAAAATAAGACAGGGAGAAAATAACCCTGTATACAGTATTTAAATCACTTTGAAATCATTATTTCAATCACTATTGAAAACTTTATTTCAATATTGAACATTATTTCAATAGTGGTTGCAACCTACGTTTGTTATTGAAATGTACTCTCAACCACTATTGGAATAAATATTTCAATAGTGGTCATATTTCAATAGGGGTTGTAACCTATGTTTGTTATTGAAATGCACTCACAACCATTATTGAAATAATTATTTCAATAGTGGTTGCAACCTATGTTTGTTATTGAAATGCACACTCAGCCACTATTGAAATAATTATTTCAATAGTGGTCGTTATTTCATTAGTGATTGCAACAGTCCTATCTCTTCTCATTCAAAAGTCATGGCCAATTCAATGTAATGTTTAAGTCTTTAACAGGAGTTAAAGGTCACAAGGTAAAAAATCTGTGTATTTAGAAAGGTCTCGTCACAGGTAATATACATGTGTAATATTAAAGTTCTATCTCTTCTCATTCAAAAGATAATGCCAAGGTTAAAGTTTTTTGTGACAGATGGACAGATAAATGAGATGTAATGGACAATTAAGCAAATTAAAAAAATTGTGATCCACCGCTTTTGGTGTCTTTGTGGGTGAGATGTCATTTCCTATTAATATTGTGTCAAATATGAACGCACTATCATGTGTCATTAAGAAATTATCACCAAAATTGAATTTTTTAAAAAATAGGATCAATCGTGAAATTCGAGGTCACGAGTTCAAAAATCACAGCTTGGTCGGAAATAACTTGTGACAGGTCGTTCACATGTCAAAATTAAAAGCCCTATCTCTTCTAAATCAAATGTTAAAAGGAAAATTAACAATTTTGAGAAGTAGGTCAAACTTCAAGATCAATGTCACAAGATCAAAAATTATATTTAGAAAATCTTGTCACAGGTAATACAGATTTCATTATGAAAGCCATATCTCTTCTCATTCAGAATTCATGACCTAAGTTAAAGTTTTTGAAAAGTTGGTCAAACTTCAAAGTCACAAGGTCAAAAATCAGAGTGTTTATAAGAAAGTCTTGTCACATGTAATACATAATTATACCCCACGCAACTAGTTGCGGGAGGTATAATGTTTTTGACCCGTCCGTCAGTCAGTCAGTCAGTCCGTCAGTCAGTCCTCTTTTTTTGTCAGCGCAACTCCTCATAAACCGCTGCACAGAATTTCGTCAAACTTTGCAGGTATTTAGGACACAATGTGTAGATGTGCATATTACCAGGAAATTCCGATTCCATTATTTTTTCCGGGAATTTCCGCACTTTTTAACTTAGGCATTTGGCCATACCTTGAATATAGAGATGAACAGTTTGTCAGCGCAACTCCTCATAAACCGCTGCACAGAATTTTGTCAAACTTTGCAGATATTTAGGACACAATGTATAGATGTGCATATTACCAGGAAATTCCGATTCCTTTATTTTTCCCGGATTTTCCTCACTTTTTAACTTACGCATTTGACCATGCCTTGAATATAGAGATGAACAGTTTGTCAGCGCTACTCCTCATAAACCGCTGCACAGAATTTCGTCAAACTTTGCAGGTATTTAGGACACAATGTGTAGATGTGCATATTACCAGGAAATTCCGATTCCATTATTTTTTCCGGGAATTTCTGCACTTTTTAACTTAGGCATTTGGCCATACCTTGAATATAGAGATGAACAGTTTGTCAGCGCAACTCCTCATAAACCGCTGCACAGAATTTCGTCAAACTTTGCAGGTATTTAGGACACAATGTGTAGATGTGCATATTACCAGGAAATTCCGATTCCATAATTTTTTCCGGGAATTTCCGCACTTTTAAACTTAGGCATTTGGCCATACCTTGAATATAGAGATGAACAGTTTGTCAGCGCAACTCCTCATAAACCGCTGCACAGAATTTCATCAAACTTTGTAGATATTTAGGACACAATATGTAGATGTGCATATTACCAGGAAATTCCGATTCCTTTATTTTTCCGGGAATTTGCACACTTTCCAACTTAGACTTTTTGGCCATATTTAGAATATAGAGATGAACAGTTTGTTATCACCACTCCTCTTAAACTGTTGTACATAGTTTCTTTTATCCCAAAGAGTTTTGCCTATTATTCAAGAAAATTTCTCCCCCCCCCCACCACTTCAAATTAATGTTTGGATTTGTATAATGCCAAGAAATTTTGATTCCATTATTTATCTAGAAACTTCATTCCACATTTAAATGTCCTCATATGTAAGACATTTTGATGTGAAGATTTTTTTGCAATTATTGCCCTTTTTGATCTATACTA